TCATTGAAAAACAAATAAATAAACTTCATATTGGAAAACATTTTCTCTTATATGAAATGAAAAAACAATAGCAAATTGATTATTACATATGAATCTTTTCAGTCGAGGGTAATGCGAGTCCTTTTCGACGAGCGTTATTTATTCATACAACTAATAAAGAATCAGAAACTGCAACACAAAACTTAGAACTGGTGCGTAACCAGCCGAAATATGTTTTGTGGATAATTTAATATTAGGAGATTAGTTCAAACACAATCCAGTAGTATAGAAAGATAGAGCAATTTTTTCTCTGTCAGACTGCCTAGAAAAGATATTCCTTGATGTCGTATATAAAGTAAAAAAGTGCCACTGCCACTACTTTTGGATACCCCTATGTAACGCGATAACGTTATTTCTCCAGTTTGCCATTGTGATCACAAAAAAATAAAATAAATGAAATGCTGCAACAGCAAAAAAATATTATTTCCTTCTCATCTTCATTTTTATTAAACATACTTGCGGTATTGTCCATGACATGTGCCATAAATAGAACCAAAGAAATCTATCAATGTAACTATATTTTCAAACGCCCGAAAAATTGGGCGATCTTCGCTCTAAACACTGCGATTAGAAAAAAGAACAATTAACACACAATTTATGAATGACTTCACTATTTTGTTTTCGTTTACTTACCATTTGACTTCCACACTAATCCTCCTCTTTTCTCACCTCTACTTTTCTGCTATTCATTCAGTTTATTGTATAAATTATAAAATTTCCTCGGATTATATAGAAAAATCTCCCAAATTTTACATTGAAAACTAGATTTCCGATTTCTAGTTCTCTCAGAATGATACAGAGTAGTCCGTATATCATAGAACATTTTGAAATATTTAGTTCAAAGAGTAGATTTCTGATTTCTATTTATCTGATTTGAATCAAACAATATATTTTTAAGTCTTGACTCTTAAATTTAAGCATACTATTTTGCTCATATTTAGTCTACAGAAACCGTACCGGATTTTTGAACCTGAAAATGCAAAACTTTAAAAATTTTCAAATTTTCAGTTTTCAAAATTTCTATTTTCCAAAATTTTGCCACGTTTCTTTCAAAATGGTACCAATTTTAAATTTGCACTTTATGCACAGACTCACCTCCTCTCTTTTCCTTTCCCTCTTCACTAGTTTACGGTATTTTTCCGCGGTAGGAAGTTGTGACGGAGGCTATTCCGATATATTGAAATCGGTGCCTTAATCATCCGACCGTGACATTGAAAGAAAATAATATGCAGTTATATTCTTATGAGAGGACAAACGAGACACTTATCTCCACTCTTTTGCTTTCGCTCTTCACTAGTTTACGGTATTTTTCCGCGGTAGGAAGTCGTGACGGAGGCTCCTCCTATGCATCCAAATCAGTGACTCAATCTTCCGATCGTGACATCGAAAGAAAATAATATGCAGTTATATTCTTATGAGAGGACAAAGGAGACACTCATCTCCTCTCTTTTGCTTTCGCTCTTCACTAGCTTACGGTATTTTTCCGTGGTAGGAAGTTGTGACGGAGGCTCCTCCTATGCATCCAAATCGGTGACTCAATCTTCCGATCGTGACATCGAAAGAAAATAATATGTACTTTTATTCATATGAGAGGACAAAGAAGAGACTCATCTCCTCTCTTTTCCTTTCGCTCTTCACTAGTTTACGATATTTCTCCGTGGTAGGAAGTTGTGACGGAGGCTCCTCCACTGCATCCAAATCGGTGAGTCAATCTTCCGATCGTGACATCGAAAGAAAATAATATACGCATCAGCGATAATAGTAGGCGAATCTATATAGAGTGGGCTTTTGCATTCCTTTTTAATGTTTGAAGAAAAGGGTATATCTACTTTCATTTTTTTACCCTTGGTAGTCATTAAGTAGTGACGAAGGTAGGTGAACACTTGCTGTATGCATTAAATGTATACTTTTTCAATAATATTACGCAACATCCTGAAGAAAATAAATTTTAGGTTGTAGTTCGAATGTGTCTCTAGTAGAACTATTAGATATGTTAGGCCTTTTAATGTTGTTATATTTCATAAATAGTATGCTCTGTAATTGCATGATTTATCAAAAGTTGCTCATTCTACGTGAGTCTATACAAGACAATTAGATAAAGTTTTTCGATGGAGTTGATAGATATTGATGAACTCCACATGAATCTTGTCGTATTTCTTACATTAGAGTCTTTTGATTGCATCGATATGTGCAGGTTAGTTTTTCATATGAATTGATTGTATGGTTTGGTAAAGTAGTCCAACTAACTGAAGAAAGGTGCAAAAATGTGGCTGATCATCAACTTGACCTATACAGAGGTGATGAATTATATTGGAAGCTTTTTTTACAACGTAACAATACGGTTCTCGATATAGAAAGCTTCATCATAAGTGATATGAGAAAGGACCATCGTTATAAATTAGTCTTAAGCCTCTACTCAATGATCATTACTGGATTAATGTCATATGATCTTGTCCATCGGATCGTATGCAGTACTGTTGAGATTGTAAGTTATATATAGAAAATAATATAGAAGTCTTTTGCGTAGTTTTCGGTATCTTTTATATTCTTATTATTGCGGTTCGAATGGGTTGATCTTTAGACGAGGTATTTTAATTTCTGTGTTTTCGAATGTTCTTTTTCGAAAAACCGATTTTGATCACGGATGTTTTTACACGGAAAAGAGTTCTTGACAAAGTACTTGACGTTGCTCGTTAATGAAAGCTAGAAATTGGTTCAGTGTCACATTCTGTAAAGACGTGCTGAAAAACAGGCTTGTCCGACGAACAAAAATTTGCTGGTTCATTATTTTATACATTCTTTCAGTTTTCACAACATTATTGTCATAGTTTTCAACAAACATAATCACAAGATTTCCGAGTCGATAATCGAATATAATCTTTGCGCGCAGCTATAAACAGAATCATACTTATATAAATGAGGATGAAGGAGGAAATTATTGGTAGAGCTCGTTTCTGTCATCAACCATTAAGGCACTAAATGTATCGCGTACTGCAATTAGTTTCACTGACGGTAGCTAGATTAAAATCGAAGCAGTGTATTTTTTGTCGACCTCTCTTCTATCATAAGGCCGATCGGTCTTCTGTAAAATCCGTTACTGTTAATTTTTCTTATAACACTTTACTCATGTGATTAAGGTCATATGGAGAAATTTATGCACTTGCGGAAAATGTCGAAGACCACAATTTTCTGAAGGAAAGTTCATAGAAAGGTGCAATAGTGAATCGTCTAGAAAATGGACTATATTAGTGAAGATCACTAATTGGGTCGAATCAGCTAGTATCTAATACCGATTTCATCTTCGATAGAAACGCTAGCATACTTTCATAGACAAAAGACATTTTTGCGATAGGTTTTTTTACGAAAAGGAGACAGTAAATGAATTAGATAGGCAACCGGCTCACCTATTGATAAATGTTCAATATAGAAGCAAACTAACGGGTGCGGCCGGATAAATCAGCCTCTCTTTATTTTACGACTCTCTCTCTTATAGCCCGACCTGAATCCTTGACCTTTTCCCAGACGATAGCCCGTGAAATTTTCTACAAATCCTGAGGGAAAGAGTTCTTCGAAAGAATCATCCCAAAAGTATACCAAGTCAATCTTATAATGCCGTAAATCAGCCTACTTTCAAATACGCATTTTATAAAACGAATCATTGTATTTCTTCTAGCTAAATAACTACAAAAATCTGCTTCGATGTATTTTTACACGCGCTTTTTTACATAAAATTGAAAAGAAGTTGTTTGAATGGAATTGCGAGTGTCTATCGGTCAGTCTTCCCAAAACGTAAGAAGGAACTATAGGTTCGTTCGGTTCTGAGTCTTAATCATTACAGCAAGAAACTTTGCATCATCCTGTTCCCATCAAAATCAGAGCGGAAACATTTTACTTCAATTTTTTAATAAATCTGAATATGTAACAATTCCTTATTTCGTGCGTCGAATTCAAACCTACAAGGAACCTTAAAATAATATCTTTTGAATGAAATTAGCGGGAAACAGAGGCCACACTTTTTCCAGCTAAATTGGCAACATGTCGAAAGGACGTTTGCATCTACTGATAGAGCATTTCACGGACTATCAATTGCCCTAGCAATCTTTTCTCCATGTGAAAGAAGGAGCTATATAGAATGGTAAATTTGAACGATAGTGCTTTGAACACTGAAAAAAAAGGTATTTGACAAAAACCATCAAAAAGGTTTCGTAGACGTCCAAAGCTCCCAAATGTGTCAAAATGTTGAAAAAAGTGGTTTTCGAAAATCTGCGAAACCTTATGGTTCCGTATTTTCTGGCGAACCTTTATTNAGATTACGTCTTCGATGGAAAAATAAATATTTTATCATGAAAAAGAATTTCTACTGTTTGAAATGTCAGGCCTATCTGTATCTTGATGCATCTCATAATAATTTTCAAAGCTTTTATTGAGAAACCAAATGAACGTGTACATGATATATTGGTCTAATGAATTTCTTTTTTTATTATAGCAAAATTCAGCTGATCATATACTCTTCTAAAAATATTGTTTTTCAAGAGCAACTCATACTAGCAGAAAAACATACAATTTGTTTACATAAATCAGCATATAATCGTGAAAAATCGAAGAGAGAAAGATAGAAAAACATTAAGAAAAGTTTCAATTTGATGTAATTCACGAGGATCGGGTGAGAAATGATCCATTCTATATTAGTATTTCATTGAAATTCAATCGACTTCATGGGAAAATTTCATTTTGCGACAAATTCAAATTTAATCGTGTATTTAAAAAAATAAAATCATTAAATAGTTTAAGCAAGAACATGGCTAAAATATTTAAGGCCCCTCTCAAAATCCGCCCTCAGCAGTAACGGTCGATGTCATAGTCAGGCGATTAAATTAATTCACGGGAGTGGACATTTGTCCAAAATTTCAATACAGCAGTTTGATAAATGATGCGATCAAGCTTTGCTAATTTCTCAGCAAAAACCAGATCTTCAGACTTTATTGGAGGAGGTTTTGGAGTTACATAGACTGCTTCGTTTATACGCAATCGTTTTAGTTCTGCTGGTATTGTCCAATTTAAGAAAACTTCCAAAAGCTGTAATGAAAGTTTTGCATGTTCTTTGATAAGTATTAAGTCAATTTGGTTCATATTGTCAAGTGCACAATTTCTGGTTTTATCATTTCGAATATGCGGACATCTTGCCCTTTGTTCTCTCTGATCTTTTTCTGAAGTAGTATTTTCCCAAAAATGATAGCAACAGAACAAAGTAGTAACAGGATTGTTCCCAAAAGTCCATCGTGATCCATAGTCTTTCTGAATTAACTGTGAGTCTATACTTGCTTTCAAAAACTGTTGAAAAGACTCTCCTAGTATCTGATCCAGAGATCCTCTACAGTCAGATTTCCACGCCTGATTGACAACAGCGTTCGCGAACTTTAATAAGAAAGATGTATTCAACGATTGTAACCGTTCTACTGAAAAATTATGTACTTGAGAAATTTATCATAAGTACAATCGAGTGATGTAGTTCCACATTGTAATGTATTATTTAACTGATGTATTACTGATTGTAAAGCGAACGCTCCCGCAAGGTAATGAGCAGAAAATCTTCGAAAATGAAAAGCGGAAATTGTCTGTTGTACAGGATCTCGAATTATAGTTATATATTTGACTGGTCGTTTCAACTCGATCATGTGATGGACTCCATATGGAATGTGTCCTATAAGCACGTCAATTTGATTAAGTTCTGATGCATTCATTGCGCGAAGTTCTCGTATATCACCGTACTGGTCTGCGATAATAAGTTCTCTGCAAGTTTTGTTAGTAGCAATACACCAATGATTTAAAATTACACGAATAATTGTTCCACCCGTTTTTGGAGCATGTACAAAAATATACATTGGTTTCATTTTTCGATCAGTAGAATATGCCAAAGTGCTTCCTAATTTCTCCGTTTGAAATGAATTATGTTCCCAAGATGAAGATGTGGGCTGATTGCCGGCCAGTTGGCATTTATCATAAATTTTAATCAATGTAAGTAACGTTATCAAACTGAATATGATACATATTCCTTGGTTACGTATCATATATCGCGATTAATTTTGTGATGACTGATCGAAAAAGGAAACAACCTTATTTATAAATTCTTCTAAAACAATACAAAAATACTCTGCTAATTTCCAAAGTGTTGCAAACATCTTAGTTTTCGAGGATAATGATTTGAAGCTCCCTAGACTATTCTAGAAAACATTTACCATTGTTGGGAACCGCTTGAGTATCTTAGAGAACGGTTCATCTCGCCCTAAACTCTGTTTGAATGTACCTATATAGAGATATTCGACAGCGAAGAGCAAATAACAACTTTGTTTAAACTCATCCAAGCTACTCGCCTACACTTCCATCATTTGCTTTGTTCTCACTTAGGGGAGCTTCCATGAGGTCACCATCCAAACTAGTCGCCGAAAATTTTTGACTTTTCAAGTGGACTAGTAAGGGTAAAAAAGCATAAAAAGTTACTCCGAAACCCAGATTTTAATCGCTTTTCATCAAGGTCTTCCGGTTTTTATGCATACACAAGTTCTAGTCCAAAGTTTCAATGTGTCAAAAATTATGATCTTTCGAGTGCTTTTGTTTATTGAGATTTTCATCAGAAAAACATATTCAAAAGTAACATTATCTTATATCGTTCGATAGAGCGGAAGCTGCTCTGCAAAACTACTTATGCGTTTCTGAATAATTTTATAGAAAATCACGCAATAAACGTTAATTTTCAGCAGGAAAATACATGATTTCGCAGAAACTAATGCGATACTCAGAGTCAGCGTAAAGCGCTGATCTACCAGGCGTGTTTTTCCAAAGGCTTTTTTAAATTTTTTTCTCTCAAAAACTCTCCTGTGCTCCCCTCCCCCGGGGTTTTCTCGAAATATGAGTTCTACTGTGCCAGAAAGACTCGAATTTGAGGATGTGCTTTCTTTTCCCATGGTTTCCTGTGAAGTACAGTTAGAAAGTCAAAGTTAACCTGAAATAAGAAAATTGTGGAACATTATATCTTTTGAAAATTCTGAGGGGGAGCNAGATTACGTCTTCGATGGAAAAATAAATATTTTATCATGAAAAAGAATTTCTATTGTTTGAAATGTCAGGCCTATCTGTATCTTGATGCATCTCATAATAATTTTCAAAGCTTTTATTGAGAAACCAAATGAACGTGTACATGATATATTGGTCTAATGAATTTCTTTTTTTATTATAGCAAAATTCAGCTGATCATATACTCTTCTAAAAATATTGTTTTACAAAAGCAACTCATACTAGCAGAAAAACATACAATTTGTTTACATAAATCAGCATATAATCGTGAAAAATCGAAGAGAGGAAGATAGAAAAACATTAGGAAAAGTTTCAATTTGATGTAATTCACAAGGATCGGGTGAGAAATGATCCATTCTATATTAGTATTTCGTTGGAATTCAATTGACTTCATGGAAAATTTCATTTTGCGACAAATTCAAATTTAATCGTGTATTTAAAAAAATAAAATCATTAAATAGTTTAAGCAACAACATGGGTAAAATACTTAAGGCCCCTTTCAAAAGCCGCCCTCAGTTGTAACGGTCGATGTTATAGTCAGGCGATTAAAGTAATTCACGGGAGTGGACATTTGTCCAAAATTTCAATACAGCAGTTTGATAAATGATGCGATCAAGCTTTGTTAATTTCTCAGCAAAAACCAAATCTTCAAACTTTATTGGAGGAGGTTTTGGAGTTACATAGACTGCTTCGTTTATACGCAATCGTTTTAGTTCTGCTGGTATAGTCCAATTTAAGAAAACTTCCAAAAGCTGTAATGATAGTTTTGTTTGTTCTTTGATAAGTATTAAGTCAATTTGGTTCATATTGTCAAGTGCACAATTTTTGGTTTTGTCATTTCGAATATGCGGACATCTTGCCCTTTGTTCTCTCTGATCTTTTTCTGAAATAGTATTTTCCCAAAAATGATAGCAACAGAACAAAGTAGTAACAGGATTGTTCCCAAAAGTCCATCGTGATCCATAGTCTTTCTGAATTAACTGTGAGTCGATACTTGCTTTCAAAAACTGTTGAAAAGACTCTCCTAGTATCTGATCCAGAGATCCTCTACAGTCAGATTTCCATGCCTGATTGACGACAGCGTTCGCGAACTTTAATAAGAAAGATGTATTCAACGATTGTAACCGTTCTACTGAAAAATTATGTACTTGGGACCATCCTTCTGTACCTCCAAGACCAGCGAAACATCCTTTCGCATTAGGGAATGAAGTTTGATTTCTAGTTAAATAACTGATAACGGCATTTCGATTATGATTTAACTGAAATTTATCATAAGTACAATCGAGTGATGTAGTTCCACATTGTAATGTATTATTTAACTGATGTATTACTGATTGTAAAGCGAACGCTCCCGCAAGGTGATGAGCAGAATATCTTCGAAAATGAAAAGCGGAAATTGTCTGTTGAACAGGATCTCGAATTATAGTTATATATTTGACTGGTCGCTTCAACTTCATCATGTGATGGACTCCATATGGAATGTGTCCTATAAGCACGTCAATTTGATTAAGTTCTGATGCATTCATTGCGCGAAGTTCTCGTATATCACCATACTGGTCTGCGATAATAAGTTCTCTGCAAATTTTGTTAGTAGCAAGACACCAATGATTTAAAATTACACGAATAATTGTTCCACCCGTTTTTGGAGCATGCACAAAAATATACATTGGTTTCATTTTTCGATCAGTAGAATACGTCAAAGTGCTTCCTAATTTCTCCGTTTGAGATGAATTATGTTCCCAAGATGAAGATGTGGACTGATTGACGGTCAGTTGGCATTTATAATATATATTAATCCATGTAAGTAACATGATCAAACTGAATATGATATATTTTCCTTGGTTGCGTATCATATATCGCGATTAATTTTATGATAACTGATAAAAAAAGTAAACAACCTTATTTATAAAATCTTCTAAAGCAATACAAAAATACTCTGTTAATTTCTAAACTGTTACAAACATTTTAGTTTTCGAGGATAATGATTTGAAGTTCCCTAGACTGTTCTAGAAAACATTTACCATTGTCGGAAACTGCTTGAGTATTATAGAGAATGGTTCATCTCCTCCTAAAATCTGTTTGAATATACCTATATAGAGGTATTCGACAGCGAAGAGCAAATAACACCTTTGTTTGACCTTATCCAAGTTACTCCGAAACCCAGATTTCAATCACTTTTCATCAGAGTCTTCCGGTCTTTTATGTATACACAAGTTCTAGTCCAAAGTTTTAATGTGTCAAAATTATGATCTTTCGAGTGCTTTTGTTTATTGAGATTTTCATCAGAAAAACATATTCAAAAGTAACATTATCTTATATCGTTCGATAGAGTGGAAGCTGCTCTGCAAAACTACTTATGCGTTTCTGAACAATTTTATAGAAAATCATGCAATAAATGTTACTTTTCAGCAGGGAAATGCATGATTTTGCAGAAACTAGTGCGATACTCAGAGCCAGCGTAAAGCACTGATCTACTAGGCGTGTTTTTTAAAAGATTTTAAGAAATTTTTTTCTCTCAAAAAGTTCCCTGTGCTTCGCCTCAGGGTTTTCTCGAAATAAGAGTTCTACTGTGCGAGAAAGACTCGAATTTGAGGATGTGCTTTCTTTTCCCACAGTTTTATGTGAAATACAGTTAGAAAGTCGAAGTTAACCTGGAATAAGAAAGACGTTGCTATAGAACACGAAACGATGAAAGAAAATTGTAAAACATTATATCTTTTGAAAACCATTTTGAGGGTGGGTGTGAGAGCGTGGGTGAGGATCTAGACACATATTATCAGTAAACGATGATGTCCTTATCAAAATCCAAAAAAAAATATTTCAATAGGATCGGGACCGAGATAGGGATGGAAAAAAACGATCCCGCTGGACTCTACTTTCTCAGTGGAGTTTCCACAATTGTCGATAGTTCGGTTTAGTCAATGTCAATATCAAAATCCAACACAACTTTGGTGATTGTTTCACAATTTGATAAACATAATAATTAACCGAAAATGTTTATAAAACAGAATCAACTCTGAATAATGTGTTATATCCACTAGTAGTTTGTACCCGTTAGCCGCATTCTTGGAATGTGTAAGACAATACTGAAAATCCAGATGTAACTTTTTGCTGAGAATGTTACTAGGTTTTCTACGGGTAATAAGTTAATTATTATGTTAATCAGGATGTGAAGCAGTCACCTAAGTTGTGCTGGACTGTGCCATCGACTATTGCTAAAAGTTTAGCGCGAAAGTCAATACGACGGAATTTATACTACTCTCACATTGAATGCATTGAAAGAGTAGGAAAAATATTTCATGTGCATAGTGTACATATCATGACGTACATACTCCATAAAATAGTCATGCACGGATAAACACAAATGCATACTTTTTCTCTTCTTCACGCGCGCATCTAATTTTTATTTGGTTAGCCTTCCGACGTTGAATCATCGAACATCACAGTTGAATGAAGAAAGCAGATAGATGACACTTGCGTGAGAGAACAAAATACAAGAGGGGGAAGAGCGCTTTTCGTATACTCCTAAAAATACTTTGGAGTATGGTCGAGTATGATTGAAGTAAAGTGGAGTAGAATGAACTAGAACTGCGGTAACGGTGTACCATAATGGATGAGGTTCTCACTATTTTGCATATATATCACCTATTCTTAGAACAAATATCCGTGCTAATGTTCTATTGAAATTCTTTCGTAGCATTCAAATAGTTAGATTTGAAAATCCAATTATACCGTATTATCGAGCAGAGCGTCTTCTACGAAGCGGACTATTTAATACACTATCACAACATATTCGTTTCGAAAAATGTTAACAGGATTTTTTTCTTTACTGACGAAAAAATCTCCATTTGAAGGTTCTTTTACGTTGCAACTACAAAATCGTTACTTAGGGGATACCAAAAGTACTATCCAAATTTTTATGAAAGGTAGGTGGAAGAAAACTGTATAGCTTTTTACTGACAACTCATTTCAATCTGCGGTTATCACCATATGATAGAGGAGGAACGGGAATCAGATACCTACGTAGAAAAGTCACTTTTTGCAAACGAAACTAAGTATGTATAAGCGAACTGTTTCAGGACTTTTTTTCCATCATGCTGGTGCTCCGACATACCCACTTCACTTTGATATTGAACGAATGTTCTTACTTTCCTTATTGGAAATGCTAGAAATGTTTTAATAGTGCAATTGCGTGTAGGACATTAGTCGCTAAAATACGAAAACTTGTTGAAAATATTTTCAAAATAGAAGTTTTTTTAAAGTGTTCAGAACCATGAAAAGATTCATTTTTGTATTGTGTCGTATTTTTATGTTCAACTTATGAATGCAGACGTGCAAAAATGCTGATGCTTAAGGGTTTTTCCGAAAGAAAACCATTGATTTCTTAAAAACCTTGTATAACAATCCAGATTCTGTTTTCATTATACACTAACGTATTGGATTAAAATAATTATGAATAGGAAAAGAACTCATATTCTATGCTTTTACTAATCACCATTCAAATCTGTTTCTTCGCGGTCAGATTGTAAATATGGTTCGTTATCTTCCTACATAATTCCATCCGCCATTTTGTAAATTTCTGCAATTCCACATTCATACTGAGAATACAAAGTTGCACGTTTATCATCCATCGCCACCATAAACTATTCAATCACTTCCTTTGCATTGTCCTGACAAAAGGTCGAGTTTTGCTCACTAACGAATTGCTTGAGATCATTTCAGGACAATTCAATAGGATTGAGAGTTTTGGAAGACGAAATATTTCTATATCATACTTCTTTCGAATTCGATCACTCTATTCAACGAAATAGTGAAGGGCTTACAATATATTCTTGAGGTGAACAACTAGCATCCACTAGTTCCAACAATTGAACATAAAGAAATCTTTCCGAAAAAATGATTTTTGGATCTTTCACCTATTGCGGGTGTGGATGGATGCTGGCCATTCTACTAAAACCGTTGACAGCTGTCAAAGATTTGGCAGGAAGTTCGCTGAGCTCTAGCAAGCTTCACGATGTCATTGATTGTTTTTTGCAACTTACATCAAACCACTTTAAAGTAGAGGGATATGTCCACATATTTGAATATAGCTTATGAAACCTTGAACCGCTGCATGAAACAATTGATAGTTTGGTAAATATTCTCCCAAGCGTCTAGTCATTCCACGGTATTGTTATCCGTTTCGTAAACGCTATACTGCATCAGTTACAAGCACCTAGAACTCATCAAAGTTTAGCATAAATGTTTTCGAACCGTTGGTCAATTTGTGCTACTAGGGAGAGTTTGACAAAAAATTTACCAAACCTTCAAAGACAGAATCAGGTGATAGAAGGTTTCGCATGCATTATAACGAACGTTTTGGAACAGACACAATCTCTCACTGGATCAGTACGAGATATACAGAACCATCGGGAGATTAGCAGTGGACATGCTGAACTTACTGAAATTTCAATTGACATACGAAATTATTAAGAGTTTTGCATTAAATTTGGTAAGCCTTTAAGTGTTCGCTAACTTATTATTGATTTTCGATAACCAACACGAAACGTTCAGTATGAATAAGAAATCATGTTTTGTTTAGTTTTAAATATTCTGAATTTTCCGAAAACTGATGAACCATCAAGTGACCTATGAAACTGGGAACTGTTTGATAGAAGATAGACGGAACCTATCGTCAGACTGCGAAACCGCTGATGATTCTGTGAGCATGTTAGAGAACTATCGATGGTTTTGTGAACCACACAGAAAACCTTTTAGGTTCGTCAAAACACCAATTTTTTTACAGTGCAATACTACCAGAGCCATTTTAAAATGCAAATTTTCTTCCCTTTAAACTAGTTTATGCTATCAAAAGCTAAGTAGTATAAATGGGGTACAAAAATGAATGCGCGAGCGGTACAATTTTGTCTATAGTGTAAAATATGATGAATGAGTACATCTGGCAGCCTCGGACAATGTCAACTAACATAATGAAAGCAATCGGGTCATCGTATACTATTATGTTATTATCGGGTCCAAATTCCAATTTGGCTCATTGTTTTTAAGACCACAGTTTCGTGTGTTCCATTTTTTTTGATAATATGTAAGGCCAGCAGTATATAATAATGGTTCAGCTTCTCGATCCGCTATCCTCATGTTATTCCGTCTCCATTGTGTGCGATTGATATCTCTACCATCATCTGCGCTAATATGTAAAATTTCTTTTGCTCGTTTCCATGCACAAGTTTTTAGCTCTTCTACGAGTTCATTTTTCAAAACTTTTGGCATGTGAAAAATATGCACAATGTGCTGATTAATTGATACATAACCGCTTAGTTTTAGTCTCCTATAGTAATCACAGTCCGCTGTGTATTGTGGAATATAGATATCAAATGGGCCATTCGATATATAGGCAGAAGTGCGAACAGCAATTACTAGATCATAATGGTAGAATATCACACTCCAGTTATTTTCCGTCCTATTGGCTTGACGAATAGAATTCAACATCTTTGTATAGACAGTATGAGGATGGGCGTCGGACGACTTTGCACCTACAGTTTTATTAATGTTTTCTTTCGCTATTGCCCAGTCTTCGGAAAGAGGCAAAAGCATAATATCCATATGTGACCAAGAATAGAAATCACATTTTGATTGTTGAGCAATATCTAAGAATAAATTTTGTAAATGTGAGAAAGATAACAAACTCGATGTCGGTAAGATGGCGATAATCATATGACCATATTTTCTAGCTAACCAATCTCGTCTTTTTACAGCTAGTTTTCCAGGTGAATTGTCTACTAGTACTACATTCTGCCAACCAACTTTGGATTCGTAAAAACTATCCAGACACTGATTTAACATGTCCCAATCGTATGTAAAAGCCAAGAAATGAGGGACAAACCCTAGATCGTCGTCAATATGAACATCGGGTAAAAAAGGAATATTCGTGTAAGCATAATAAATAGGAAGCGAATTTGATGAATTGAAAGAATGAATCTGTGCAAATGCTACTGGTCGATTCTTTGTGAAATATACTATAGCAATGAAGCCAAACAGACATATTATGTAAGTAAAAGTACGCCCAGAACGAAATACATGCCAATTACAATACGTACGATCATGATCATCGAAAACGGCTTTCATAGTTCAACGATCTTTTAGTATATTATCTAAAAGAGGATTGAAGACTAAGAATGATATTGATGATGCCTACGTCTAAGTTTATGCATATATATATATACATGGTAGCAGAAATAAAAGACACATAGTTTTCGATCATTGGTAACCTAAGCGTTATATAACTTGCCAATAAACTGAGGAATAGAAAATTTTCGGAAAATTTTGATATTTATATTAAAAGTTGAAATCTCAAACTTGAATGCAAGAGTTATATGTACTTCAAAAAGTAAAAAGAATTTATGAAAAATAGATTTTGATCAAACTTCCGAAAAATTAACTATCTTGAGAGTATGCTTGGCGTTGCTTTTTAGTCTCGTAAATGGCTCGCCCATTTGAGCAAGGAAATATTTGGACTGGACAGAAAACAGTTTAATCTATGGATTAAGTCCCTTGAAATTTTCCCTAAGAAAGTTCACGAATTTAGTGAAGTTCTAACAAGACTTATAGCACATTATGGTATTCCAATTCAGACTACTGTATAATATGAGTATCGCGGATCCATCGGATTCGGTCACCTTTTTCTGAAATACAGAAAAACAATCGTTGCATGCTTCCAAAGAAAATATAGACCCAAGTTGTACGTCTTTTCCCCAAACCAATATAGTTATACACTTCACAAGACTTTATAGGCGAGGTTGAAGTTAAGAAGTTAGTGTGGTTTCAAATTAAGACAGAATGCGTTGTACCGTACAATATTGGAATTAATGCTGAAATATATCGAAGTTTTTTCTTGTATGTAAGACGCAGGCTCCTTATAGATCAAAGCAAAAAGAACATTTGGGGCATTCCCAGGTCGCATTTCATCGGATCCGAAACATGAATTTTCCAGACTTTCTAAGGGTCATCATAGGATATAGCTAGAAAGATCGCTCATAAAATTTGTAATAACTGACGGAATTTCTCTAGTCGGATCCGGTCTGATTCGATCGGATCCAGCATCGGATTTGTTGACCTGGGTTCAAAACTTTTTACCGAAATCTTATATTGTAATCATCATTAGAAATACATCATAAACAAACAAATATATATCTACTTACTTTTTATGCGGCTGCCACACTGTAAAAAAAGAGTGGGGGATAATCTACCCTACGAAAGGACTTATTAATATCATGTACCCTTCATCAAGGTTTCATAAAACCCTTTTTTAGTACATTCCACTTTTAGGTACTCTTTTAGGATATATGACAGTTCCACAAACCCTTTGAGGGTTTGTTATACGTTGCACTTTCATAAACTCTTTGAGTATTGATGAAAAAGAAATAGTAAACCTTCAAATGGTTTATTATTTTTATAAGCGTGCAAGGATTTATGAAAGTGCAACGTATATCAAACCCTCACAGGGTTTGTGGAACTGTCATATACCCTAAAAGAGTACCTAAAAGTGGAATGTACTAAAAAAGGGTTTTATGAAACCTTGATGAAGGGTACATGATATTAATAAGTCCTTTCGTAGGGTAGATTATCTCCCCACTCTTTTTTTACAGTGCAGTGTTTTTAAAAGAACATGGTTGTGTCTAATATAAGTGTTTTGGAAACATATTTTCCTCACCAAATACTTGCAAATAAGCCGATTGTGCGTTAATATTGTTAGTTAATCTACAAGAGTCCTAATAAAAAGTATTATGAAGTATTCGAGGAGAAAAACATCTGATTATTAGACAGGTTGAGTGATTCTATAAATTTCAAAAGATTCTGTTTGATTCGACGGATTACAGCATGATTTTACTGATGCTAAGGCCATAAAAATCAGCTGTTTTCTCCTTAGAACTATCTCCAATGAGCTTTGCATCTAGGAACTATATTTATTTGCAAGCGAAATGTATTAGGAACGGAAGAAAAATATTGCCTCTATAAAACGTCTGCGTTACAACGTACATATATGATACAATGGCTATATGCACGAATAAACACGTGTGTATTTTGTTTCATTCTCAAGCTTGTGAGTCGTTTTTATTTTGTTCGTTCTGTGTTGTATCAATACTGAGTACACGTATGTCATTTGTGACGGAGAATATCATAAGCCACGGAAAAAGTATACATTTAATGCAGGGTCGGAAGAAACAAATACAGGCATGATTATAGTTACTTTTCATGACTATATGTTCGTTATGTATACGGTGCACCTTGTGCAAAATTTCAGCAAATTTTTTTCCGTTTTTTTCATATGTTAGATAGAGCTGATCGAGCTGAGTCAGAATATATATGTTTTAATATTTTTTTCAATCATTTTATTGAAAAAAAAATTGATGGTTTCCGATGGTGTTCAATAGTTCACTTTTTCATCCAAAAATCGAATCTTTTAATACTTTTTTGCAAAATCTCCGATTTTTTTCAGCCTGTTTAATTTATGGAAACTATTTATCCGAATTCTCCTTGAAAAACTGCATCCGCTAAATTTATTCTAAATGCTTCTTAGCGAAAAGATACTGATGAATTGTATACTTTTTTACATGTCAACATACAATCAAGTTCCATATATCATTAGAACCGCCAGATAATGCGCTTCAAAAGTATAACTTTGGTTTTTTAATATTCCGTTTCATTGAAGAAAATTTTAGTTGTTTTTCAAATTTACATTTGAATCAAGAAAATCACTTTTTTTTATTGTAATCTAAAGAGCTGATTCTATCAGCACAAAATGTGAGCCAGAGATAATATCAGCTTACAGAATTCAGTCATTCCATTTTTACTATTTCTATTAGTATGAAAAACTTCTGTTTACAGCTAGTGACTAAAAGAAGTTCGATCCCGTCTTGAAGTAAAGAACCTATCTGTGGGCTTAATGTGTAGGATATATTGCACCTAGCTTACAAGTTTAAATGAAAATATTCGATTTTCAGAATCCTGATTTGATAAACCATACATGTGTACATACATAATGACGACCCCGTTACTATTTCTCAATTCATTTTCAGCACTGAAGGAATCATACTATAAACTAAGGACAGAAAACATTAAACTTTATATCACAAATTTCGTTTGGAAATATTTGTCAGTGACAAAACACTATGAAAATGAGAGTCATAGTAGCAATGATGAAGATTACGGTCTCTTTTGAAAATTAAATTTGATCAAAAATGCCCACTCTCCAATAGTAAACTTCTTTCTTCAGAAAATTCGTCGATGTGAATAATAAATAAGTTTGGTACTTGATTGAAATTATTGTTTACAACGACTTATTGCGCAGTTCACCCAAATGAACAACTAACAAAGTTCTTGAAAAAAGTAATATTATGTACTATCGACGCGACAAACCTAGCCATAGTTTTACCTATAACCTATCAACGCTTGGTAAGAATAGAAGCAAAACAAGCGAGATTCCTCACGAATTCCTTTTGTCTCTTCAAATACTCGAAATTGTTTAGCTATCGATCATCTTTCATCTGAAGAGCAATACAAAACTCGACGCTCGATATGCGAATACTATTTAAATCTTGTTAGAGCTATATCTTCCGTTTTCGGCTAGTTTCAATGATAAAGAACTACCAACTCGTCATATGCGAGCGCGTGGGTCATCTCTAGAGGAAACATGCGGAATAACCATACAGCCTAATTCCTTACCGAAGCATTACAACTTAACACGATGACAGGCTCAATTTACGGGCAATCGATATAACGCATCATATGTACATCATTTCGGATCATTGGAATAAACTGCCTTCGGCTATATGTAGATACCAATCACTGTAAACTCTTAATGATTGAATTATCATTGCAATTACAGATTAATAAATATAAATAAGGGATTTCTTGTTGATTACAAGAAATTGATACAAATTGAATAATCTTAATAATACATTAAAACTTATTAAACACTATTTTTTTTGGATTAACTTGATATGAGTTTCTCATCAAATCTTAATTAATATAGCTGATATTACTGTCGTACCCTATGAGAAATCACTTGTGGACATCTATTATGATTGTATATTAATCTTAACTAAAATAGCTGCACGATGATGTGTGGATCATACTCAAGTATATATTTCACTTCAACTTTAAATTAATTTCCCTATGTCCGTTATTGAAGTTTTGCACATTATTCCTTTCATAATCTGCGGTAAATCTAATTCATTTGCTTTTTTCATTAAATATTAAAAAGAGATTTGAAAGAAAGTCGATGACTATAAAAATACTTTCGGTAAAAAGATATATAGATATATCTATATATATAAAGAAGAAAGTTTGTCTGTCTGTCTGTCTGTCTGTTCGCTATGCATTCAGTCCCTGTAGCAGCTATCGGCGTGAAACTTTCCACAATGCTTCCTGAGATCCAGAGGAAGGTCGACATCTACTTTGTTCCGAGAACGAATGAACCAGACGTTTGCTATAGGCAATATATCAAACGGACCAATAGGAATGCGAGATTTCCAAAATTGAGAAAATTAATAGCGAAGGCGGCCGAAGGCCGTCTGAGCGCACATAGACATCAATCCACGTGTTCTGCCTGTGCACGCTACAAGCAACCTTGGACGCTAACCAATTGGATTGCGAGATGTGAAAAATTGCAGCGGGTCGGTAGCGAAGACCGTCTGAGTGCTCAAAGACAACAATCCACGTGATCTCTACGCCTATAATAGTTCGGTGAATGCTACAGATAATCTGCGAAACTCACCAATAGCGTTACAGGATCTCAAAAAATGAAGATAAATGTCGAGGGTGGGTGANCCCTGAAATTTTTTTGCCGGCCCGCCGATGGCTTAATGTGTAGGATATGTTGCACCTAGCTTACAAGTCTAAGTGAAAATATTCGATTTTCAGAATCCTGATTTGATAAACCGTACACGTGTACATACATAATGACGGCCCCGTTACTATTTCTCAATTCATTTTCAGCACTGAAGAAATCATACTATAAACTAAGGACAGAAAACATTAAACTTTATATAACAAATTTCGTTTGGAAATATTTGTCAGTGACAAAACACTATGAAAATGAGAGTCATAGTAGCAATGATGAAGATCACGGTCTCTTTGAAATTAAATTTGATCAAAAACGCCCACTCTCCAATAGTAAACTTGTTTCTTCCGAAAAGTCGTCGATGTGAATAATAAATAAGCTTGGTACTTGATTGAAATTATTGTTTACAACAACTTATTGCGCAGTTCACCCAAATGAACAACTAACAAAGTTCTTGAAAAAAGTAATATTATGTACAATCGACGCGACAAACCTAGCCATAATTTTACCTATAACCTATCAACGCTTGGTAAGAATAGAAGTAAAACAAGCGAGATTCCTCACGAATTCCTTTTCTCTCTTCAAATACTCGAAACTATTTAGCTGTCGATCATCTTTCACCTGAAGAGCAATACAAAACTCGACGCTCAGTTTGCGAATACCATTTAAATCTTGTTAGAGCTATATCTTCCGATTCCGGCTAGTTTCAATGATAAAGAACTACCAACTCGTCATATGCGAGCGCGTGGGTCACTTCTAGAGGAAACATGCGGAAAAACCATACAGCCAAATTCCTTTCCGAAGCATTACAACTTAAACAAATCTGCTAAATCACTTAACACGATGACAGGCTCAATTTCCGGGCAATCGATATAAGGCATCATATGTACATCATTTCGGATCATTGGAATAAACTGCCTTCGGCTTGATGTAGATACCGATCACTGTAAACTCTTAATGATTGAATTATCATCGCAATTACAGATTAATAAATATGAATAAGGGATTTCTTGTTGATTACAAGAAATTGATACAAATTGAATAGTCTTAATAATACATTAAAACTTATCAAACACTATCTCTTTTTGGATTAACGTGATATGAGTTTCTCATCAAATCTTAATTAATATAGCTGATATTACTGTCGTACCCTATGAGAAATCACTTGTGGACACTTATTATGATTGTATATTANCGATTAGCTCGTTATCTCGTTTCTATATTTATATGCTTGTCGTTCATTCATAGTATAATTTTTTGTTTATTTCTTGAAATTCAACCAAATATTGGCTGTATTATATTAAATTCTGTTTGGCTTAGATATTCAACATATTTCTTTTATCCAATTTTGATTGGATTTTTACCTATTATAATCGCTTCATTATTCAATATTTTAGCTTTTCGAAATGTTCATCATATAGTTCGTCGTCAAATACCAATTGCTCGACGTCGATTAGATCAACAAATGACAACAATGGTACTTGTACGTGTTATAATATATGTTTGTTTTTTATTACCATATGTTATCTATCGTATTTATGCCATAAATGTTCCTGTTACACAAAATGATCTTTTACAGTATTCAATCAGACAATTAATTCAAACTTTATTTCAATCTTTATCTGCGGTGAACTTTACAGTAAATTTTTTATCGTTTTTTCTTCAGATTTTATTGATAAACACTTTTTTTAACCATTTGTTTTAGATTAGTTTCTATATTTTTATACTAGTATCACCACGATATCGTCGTCAAATAAAATTTCTTTTGATAAGAAAATATTGGCGAAAATGTAAAGCTTATTGCTGTGGAAATAGAAATCAAATTGGACCGATGGCAATAGATCCAATCGACGAAAATATAGAACTCGAATAAATCTTATCGCATATTATATGTTTTCTTATTTATATTTAAATAATGTTTCAAAAATTTTGATGTAATTTTCCAAATTAGTTATTTTCTCATTTATTCAAACTGAATCTATTTTAAACTTATATAGATTACTAAGAATTATTAGTATGAGATACTAACAAAGTTTCAAATCCACATTTAATCTTGCTGATGAGATTCATTAAAAACACAGTAGTGCAATTTAAAAAAGAAAATTCCAAAGGTTGCATTTGATATCAGAGAGATACAAAAAAAAGTTATCCCTAGAGCATTTAATTATATGTATAAGTAGGGCGATGACAAGCTTTGCTTCACCTATACTTTTATCTCTCAATTTGCTGATAATTAACATACATAGAGAAAAACATTAGTGAATGAAGAATTGCATGGCTAAACAAAAGAAGCCTACAATGCTCAAAGCTTTAAGAAATTCTAAGTCGTAATCAGGTGCATTTTCGACAATGGTATCGCCTGAATATGTTCACTTTATCAAAAGCCGATTTTTAACTAATGGATCCTTCTCTAAATGTCATCCATCCGTCCAATGATCGACCCTTTTCCAAATTAAATACGAATAATATCCAACAATTTTCCCACGCACACTACAAGCAGAATTAACCTTGAAATGCTCGATTATAGACAAGCTCAGTATATAAACCACCATCATCACCTCTGTTTATATAATAACACCATCCATTGTCGGTGGAATAGTCTGACCAGTATTTGCATTTTGAATTTTGAGTGGCAAAACATTCGTAATATTTTCAGTCAGAATAGGAGTTCCAAAAGCTATTGTAGTAAAAAACGAAATTACACAGCAAAAAAACGAGTAGAACTATGTCAATATCATATACATGTTAATGAGATTTAGCTGTAAAGTAAAAGCTAAACACGATTTTATCGGCTTCATTATTGACATTGTTGTTATCACAACTGATACAAAAATGTAGCTGTATATACCAGGTATATTATAAGACACGATAAAATGATGATAAACTCGCTCACATACGTTGCACGCGTGTTATTTATCTTTTCAATTTTTCTTACGACCTGACTTCGGTATATTTTGATGTACTCTAGTATTTTCTTTCCCCTTCTATGACGGACGATTATATAAGAGCGTTTTTATTCGTATCAAAACGATGCGATTCTTGAAAGGAAGAAATAAATAAAGGAGTAGTACCATCAGCACACACATCTCTTCAACCAAAAATCATCATAAAGATATCATGTTGAAGGGTTAGGTACAAAGTAGACAAGAAGGTAAAGATAGATTCGATAGTAATTGATTGTTTTGCATAAGAAACTCTGTAAGACCTTCCACAATATTTATTATTATCTATATAAATATAAAAGTATTTGTACAGAAAATGCTAAATAAAAAGAAATCAAATGGATAGATCCCGTCGGATCTTGAAATTTTAGAGATGATTCGAATTATCATCAATTAATTACTATATGACAATGAAGAATGAACGCACTTAGTCTATCTTGTGCATATACTCATTTTCAGCAAAAGGCACATATTCAACCATCAAATAAAATCTTGAACCGAAATGGAAACAGAGTTCGAGCAGAATCTGTACGAAAAAGGAGGGATCTTGCAGAGAGAACTATAAAAAAGATTCATCTATTTGGAATGCTGCATTGTATAAATCATGCAATCTCGCGCAGGCGCGGCGAAATAAGTTTTAGTAGAAGATTAGAAAATTTTATGCGCACTCCTCTCTTCAATTTCTATCATTTCTGAGATACTAAGCTTCTTGCACACTTGTCTTTCAATTTATCTGATAGAAAAATAATTTAAACTAGGAAAAAAGTCGAAATTAAATCAAACATTGAATTGAGAACACATCGAAAGGAGGAAAAGTAATCGTTGAAGTTTCATCCTCTTAGATACATTTTTTTTCTATAAAAATGTACTTTTAATCACCCAGGTAAAAAAGTCCGATGCTGGATCCGATTGGATCTCACCGGATCCGACAAAATCCGATCGGATTCCTGGAAACGGAATTGCATTGGAATCCGACTAGGAAAATCCCGTCGGTTGTTGCAAATTTTTTGAGCGATCTTTTGAGCTATGTTCTATGATGACCCTTAGAAAATCCAGGAAATCCATGTTTCGGATCCGACATGGGGTTCGAGCGGGNAAATTGCCATTCTTGAACCGATTGAACCAATGTTGCGCTGTACGAATGGAGAGTACATCCTTGCCCATCGTGCTGCATATGTTGCTAGCTGCGTCCGTTGCCTTGTGACCCAAACGAAATTCATGCAGCAAAAGCACTCGGAGCTCTCTACGAGATATCTTAAATTCTAATTCTTGATCAACGTCCATATCCATGATTTTGTTATTGCTCGAAAGAAATTCGTACCCCCTTTACATACCCACAATATGGAAACTTCTAGAACTTTCTTGACTATTCTAGGAAAATTTAAGAAAAAACGCAAAAACTTTCTGGCCAACCTAATAATATAAAAAAAAGGCGAGTCGCTCATCGACCATAGTGTTTTATTGTAATTCGATCAATTATAGTGGAATCGAAATCACGCACTGTAAATATATTCAACTCAACTAGGCTTGTGTGTAAAAGTCTAATTCGTGTGAATACGACGTTTCTCACTTGGTTGAGAGAGCTGGCATGAACTGCCACTAAAAAAAAAGATCGTCCGATACTAAGCGTAAATTAATGAAAGTCTCGTATATTAACTCTTTAAATTTACATGAAGAAAAGCAGTACTTTGAATGAATAGTTACCTTGTGTTCTTGATTCTCTTCTCCTTTTCAACATTTTCAAGAATTTCAAAATGAACTTAATAAGAGGATGTGTTAAAAGACGAAGGAAACGACAAGACTACTTATCATCGACACCAGTGTCATAGCTACATCAATGGAAGATGCTTTTCGAATGGTTCGACGATAGGAACAATATAAAGCTGCCTAAGACTTGTAAAAATGTTCATATGATGAAACCGGATTCCATTGTTCGATCATCAGTTCCTTTGATGATCGTTGAACGTGGTGTGTTCGGTGGATGGTGACCTCTTGTTGGATCATAAACGAGAAGTCGTAGATTAAATAGTTATATACAATCATAATCCAATCTGAATCTTGGTACAAACACTGAAACGTCGAAAATAAAAGTGAATTCAATGCGGAACAATCTTGCGTGTGAAGTCGATGCTCTTGTTAGATTCCTAAACGTTACTCGTTGCAAACGAAGAAAATAATGTCTGTTGGTGAACATATATTTAATTTCGAAGTAGCTCTATCTTTTTTCATAATTTCTCAATCATCGTCATGTTCTGATGAGTCCGACGGAACATCTGCAGCATATTGCTTAGCAATAATATATGTACTACACGATAGAAAGTATTTGAGACTAATAGGAACCGTTCTTATTTGATCATGGTCGACAAGAGAGAGAGAGAAACATGACGCGATAAAAATTCACAGAAGAATACCGACAGATAAACATCAATATACGGACAGTAGATATGAGAGATATAAATCTATATATATAAAGAAGAAAGTTTGTCTGTCTGTCTGTTCGCTATGCATTCAGTCCCTGTAGCAGCTATCGGCGTGAAACTTTCCACAATGCTTCCTGAGACCCAGAGGAAGGTCGACATCTACTTTTCCCCGAGAACAAAGGAACCAGCCGTTTGCTGCAGGCAATATATGAAACGGACCAATAGGAATGCGAGATTTCCAAAATTGAGAAAATTAATAGCGAAGGCGGCCGAAGGCCGTCTGAGCGCTCATAGACAACAATCCACGTGTTCTCTACGCCTATGATAGTTCGGTGAATGCTACAGATAATTTGCGAAACTCACCAATAGCGTTACAGGATCTCAAAAGATTAAGACAAATGCTGAGGGTGGGCGAATTCGAAGGATATAAGGTATGAAATGACGTGAGAGTGAGAAAGAGGTCGATCAATGAATAGCTGGAGTGGAAAATGAATATTAGAGAAAGAGGAAATTTTCATAATTTCTGAGGCAGAAATTGGCTTCGGCAACTCTTTTGCATAAAAAGATATAGCCGAAACTGCCATTTTATGCGATGCACGGCGGGAAAATAAGGAGTGGAAGCGTAGAAATTTGAATTGTACTGATTTTATACCTGTTATAGCTCTTCAACGCGTAAGATGTTCGACATAGATATTTCTTATTTGCAGCGGGTACTCCCTCTAGTAAATTATATTCGTTCGATCTAGAGAGATCTTTATATCAAAAGCTGATAGTACGGCGTACTTTCTATATAAAATGGACATCTTGATATTCAAGAAATCAGAAAATCAAGGTTTTGATTACACCTACGACCCTATGTAAGTAAGTTCAAGATATCTTGGTGACAGTAATCCGACTTTTCGTGAAGTGGCACGTACTCTGGCACCAATGCAGTGAAAAGCGTCCATAGTCTTGTGAAGACCCATCGTAATCTTGTTGAAATCTCTGGTATTCTTGGTAAAATTCTTCGGAAACCAGTGGAAATGCATCTCAATGTTGGTGAAATCCAGCGCGATCTGATTGTGTTCCATCGAAATCTATCGTACTCAAACTGAAATCTGTATGGAACTTTCGCGACATAATCCACGTCGTAATCCGTTGGTTAGAATTCCGGTGAAAGTCGCATGTATTCCGGTTGAATCTGAGAGTTGGTATGAATCACATGGGAAGATCCCACTGTTTGGACTGGTCATACGAGTCGGAAACTAAGAAAATGTATGATAAAAAGTAGGAAATTTATTCCAGGTAATGATCTTCGTTATGCTACTATACCTTGCCAGTGAATGTATAGCATAGTTATGCTTTCAGAAGGAAACAAATCAGAATCAAATTGTTTTTAGATAGTCTTCACGATAGTATGGACTGATGAATTGGTGTGTTATCGGCAAGAAGTAATATTCTATCGTTGAGTTTTTTCGTCGCTATGTGATAAGTAATACATATAAAAATTCATCCGTCGTCTGTCTGCTGTCCCTATCAGAAATCTTAATCAATCTAACTGGACTAAATACAAAATACCTCAAAGCACTTTTTCCAATACAATATACGAACTTTCCGGACAACGAAATATGTATCAAAATTTGTACGAATTTTATCAGTAAATAAAGGTAAATATCTGTTACATTCAAAGCAATACGAGTGAAAATTGATCATGAATAAAGATATTGAATTATTGTACTGAAAATAAAAGGGAAAATCACAGTCATCAACTTTTTCCCGAGGACTATCAGAAATGTATTATGAACATGAGGATGGGAGCATCATTGTAAGTCAAAAAAATGTCCAGCTTCTCAACTTTACTCTTACTCATTCTCGACACTCTCAAGATGATCTAATTCAGTGATCACTTTTTTAGTGCGTTAATTGGCAATATTTCAAAATTTCCTATTAAAATTAGAGATCTAGTTGTAATTCTTAAATCATTTGTATTTTATGAAAGCTAAGAATTAATAAATTATTAATGGAAGGAAAAGTTTGTCTGAATTTCTGAAACACATGCGAATATGAGTTTAGAGAGGAAGATTGACAACGACCACACTTCATGAAGGAATTATGATGGAAAATTTGTCAGCTACTGCCCATATAAGCTTTGTAATGATTGATACAGCACTAGGATTATCAATGGTATTACTCAATGTTGACGGATCAACACCTGGCCCACCAGTCAAAATATAAATGATACCTTCGGATGTTGTTATTGAATCCTGAATTTGTATATTAACGAGAGTATCATTTGCATCTACAGAAGCTAATTTGATAATTAATGTATTGCTGTTAGTGTGTTTTGTTGCAATAAAATAAAGGTTACCAAGCTTTCCATCTCCTTCTCCACCTTCTTGTACTGATTCATGACTCATAGTACTATTGGTAGCGGTGGAATTGAGGACTATGTTGCCAAGGTTAGCACCGAACATTTTCTGAGCTAAATAGGAAGTTGATTTGACAACTAGATTAGCATTGAAAGGAATTAAATTGGGTGTCTATTGTGTAGATTGAACATTTTGAAGAACCGGAGCATAACAACCTCCAATGATAATATATGAATTACGCTCAAATCCAATTCGATAAACTGATTCGGCAATGGCGCCACGCATTGTTGGATAGAAAAGTGAATCTGAACTACCAGCTTCCCTTGTTGCAAATTCTCCAATGAGAACTTTTGGTTTCGGTCGAGGAATTTTTTCATAACGACGGAAATTATCAATAAAAAACTGTGAACTCGGATAATCATGATCATCTACAGCCGGTGGAGTTGGAATTGAAGTGGTTGTTGTTGCAATAAAGGTTATGTTTGGATATCGTCGCGAAAGAGCGTTATAAAAAGCTGGCCAACGATAACTGTATGAACTTGTGGCAACAAAATCTTCATTGCCGATTTTTATGTATTTGATTTCGAAGGGTTGACTGCGACCCAAGTGCTTGCGTAGGGCGCCCATTCTATTAACGTCAGCAGATGCAGTTAAAAAGTCGATTTCGTTAATGACTTCATCAATATAGGGTTGAAGTTGATCTTGAGGGACTGTTTCTCCATTTAATTAATATCCAGCATAGACAGCAAGCACAAGTGTTGCACCAATATCTTCAACAAAAGTTAATAGTTCTATTATTCCTAAACCTTCTGTTTGATATCACACCCATGATCCTTGTCGACCTGGACGATTTTTCAGAGGACCAATGGTATTATTCCAAATAAAACGCTGTGCAATATCGATACGAACACCATTCGTTCGATTTTTGAACGTAGGAGGAAAACAAGAAATCAGGTTGAATTCGAAATTACCCTTTGAGTTTGGAGGAAATTCGATGAAGAAAACGTTTTGAGTAGACGGCGCCGCAAGATAGACAGAGATACTAGCAGAAAAATTGGACCAAACATTCGCGGGAGCATTCGATACATCAACTGTCGATGTACCAAACACATCTAGACCAGCTGCATCGCCCAATCCAATTGTCAACTTACCGCCACCCACATGCGCATTTGCAGATGGTCGATAATAAAATGTTGCTGTATAGCTTTGAGCTTGAGTATTCATGCCATAAAACCCACCATTTTGGAAACCAGATGGAGAAGCTGACGTTTCGGTAAGTGTGAATTTCATTTGCACTGGTAAAGCATTGGACAAAGGTTGGATATTGCTAAGACCAATGGATCCTTCCCCATATGTTATCCATCCGTCCAATGATCGACCCATTTCTAAATTAAATACAAATAATATCCAACAATTTACCCACGCAGACTACAAGTAGATTTCACCTTGAAATGCTCGATTATAGACAAGCTCAGCATATAAACCACCATCATCACCTCTGTTTATATTTGTTTCTAAAATAAGACCATGCATTGTCGCTGGAATAGTCTGGCCAGTATTTGCATTTTGAATATTAAGTGACACAACATTCGTAATATTTTCAGTCAGGATAGAAGTTCCAAAAGCTATTGCAGTGAAAAACTAAATTACACAGCCAAAAACGAGTAGAACTATCTAAATATCATATACATATTAATGAGACTTAACTATAAAGTAAAAGATAAACACGATTTTACCGGCTTCATTATTGACATTGTTGTTACCACAACTGATACAAAAATGTAGCTGTATATACCAGTTATATTATAAGACAAGATAAAATGATGATAAACTCGCTCACATACGTCGTACGTGTGTTATTTATCTATTCAATTATTCTTACGTCCGTACATCGGTATATTTTGATGTACTCTAGTACTTTTTTCTCTTCTGTGACGATCGATTATATAAGCGTGTTGTTATTCGTATCCAAACGATGCGATTCTTGAGAGGAAGAAATAAATAGAGGAGTAGTACCATCAGCGCACACATCTCTTCCACCAAAAATCGTCATAAAAATATCGTGTTGAAAAGTTAGGTACAAAATAGATAAGAAGGTATAGATAAATTCGATGGTAATTAAGTGTTTTCCACAATATTTATTATTGTCCATATGAATATAAAAGTAATTATACAGAAAATGTTAACTAAAGAGAAATCGAATGGATAGATCCCGTCGGATCTCGAAATTTTAGGCAGGATTCGAATTATCATCAATTAATTACTATATGACAATGAAAAAAGAACGTACTTAGTCTATCCTGTGCATATACTCACTTTCATTAAAGAGGCACATATTCGACCATCAAGTATAATAAAATCTTGAACCGAAATGGAGACAGAGTCCGAGCAGAATCTGTACGAAAAAGGATGGCTTTTGCAGCGAAAACTATAAAAAAAAAACGAGTCGATTTGCAATGCTACATTGTAAAAACCGTGCAATCTCACATAAACCCGGCAAAATAAGTTTTAGCGGAAGATTAGAAAATTCTATGCGCATTCCTCTCTTCAATTTCTATCGTTTGTGAGATACGAAGCTTCTTTCATAATTGTTTTGCAATTCATCTGATTAAAGAATCTTTGAACTTTTATCTACTTAAATACATTCGTACACAAAAAATGTACTTTTAATCAATCGTGGTTTTTAAAGAAAAAAGATTCAAAGAAAATTGTCGGATATAAAACTATTTTTCAAATAGAATATTTAAAAATCATTCATTTATATCTTGATCTTGCATAGGAAGATTCTTTGAACATATATTACGTTTCTGTGCTTCAAAGTTTTTAGTCAGATTGAGACAAACTATACATGATTAATTCACATTTGAACTTGATTGATGTACAAATATATGATTAATATAAAAAGGAAAATCGAGGAAAAAGAAATTCTTACGAAAATAATTCAATACGAAATTAGCGATAAATTAACGATGATGAGAGATTGTCTTTTATTTATTAAAATCGAATTGTTTCATATTAGTTAGTTTACTTTAAGTTTTAATATGATTAAAGATTATAAATAATCAATAAAGAGGTTAATATTGCTGTTGCAAATTTAGATGATGTAACTTTAGTCAGTATGTTTGATTATTCAAAGTCTATTTTTCGAAAACAAACAATATTTATAACTGATAATAATTCCCGACTATGATCATTTGTTATTCATATAGGTATTGTTATAACTATTTCACGTATACATAATATAGATCTTTTCTTTGAATCTACAAATTTTACATTTACAAATCAAATAATCTATTCATTTACTGATTTATTTTCATGTCGTTATTCTATCAGTATTGAATATATAAGTAACGATAATAAACTTGCTTTTAAATAATAAATTTGAACTTTTTCTTGGTCATGATGATGGAACGTTTGATAATATTTTCAAGGCCATATAAATCGCGCCCATTTTCACTAGCCCTCGCGGATTTTAGTCATGATTAATAATGAAACACGTAGTTGAAGCCTTTATTAACAAATTTGTTAGATCAATTTATCTATAACTCTGTAGAACTATATGAGCAAATTTATTCAACAAAAACAAAGAGAGAGCTCAATTCCATTTGATATGAAATGTATTGTATTGAAAATGATTTCAGTTGGAAAGAAATATTAATAATAAAATCGCCGTCATCACCATCCATTACATTTCTAATTTTATTTTTCCTCAAACATCGACGAAATTGAATCATATCTTTGGTTTTATTATAAAAAATTCGCCCGAATGTATTAAAAATGTTACACATAGTACCATTAATTCAGTAACAGTATTTTCATAGACTCAATCTAACATTTCTGTATTAATTGATTTACATTGATTATATTGAAATACACATTAGAACAAAAATTTCTTTCATAAGATAAATATTCTCGAAAATCATAAAATCCTTTCCTAGAAAGAAAACAAACAGGAAAAAGTGAACTTGAAATTTTTCTATTTAAAATTGTGAAAATAATTTGAAAATCTTCATCTATATCTTTCCAAATTCGGTATATTCTTTTGAACTAGTTTTTTTCCGTCGATTTACATCGAAATACTCCTTTATTTTCTTTAAATATTGTCATATTTAATAATTTTAATTGTAATGATAGTTTTTAAAGTAATACTCAATATAAATTAAAATGAACCAAATCGTCCAAGTTTATGAAGATTTAAGTTGAATTTGTATTTTGATTAAGCATTGTATAATACAAGAAAATAAAGTATTCGATTGATGTTTATCGTTCATTTATTATCATTGAAGAAGGTAGATTTGGTATTTCAAAATTATCGATTTTTATTCTGAGATATTTTAAGAAAGATGATTAAAATATAAGTTGATAAACATCTCATTAATATCATTTTCATAATAATCAAAGAAAATTTCGAAAGATAACAGACTTAACAAAGATTTCAAATAGACAAGACGAAATAATACGTTGAAATATCTGTAAATATAATCGATTCTAAATGATAAAATATTGAATTAATTGAAGATAATCAAATAAATTGTTCATTATATAATTCATTATTACAATNTTTATTCAATTAAATCAATATGAAAAATCGAAACTAAACAACACAAACAGAAGAATATCAGCGACAATTAGAAAATGTTGTTGTTTGACAGTTTTAACACTATCAGAATATCTTTCGTTATTACACTAAGTCGACAATCAACTTTCTACAGAACAACGATTAGAAGACCGAAGTAAATCTCAACTTCAACGTACACACAAAATTTATGTTTTAACTATACAACATGAAGCAGAGATTAAAATGAGTAATGATCGATATGAAGATGAAGTACTTTTTAGTGATCTCAAAGAAATCGGTGAACTTTTCGAGAAATATAATTGATTATTACCACCCAATGTTGTAACAAATATAGTTCCACGAGTCAAAACACTCAATGCAATACGCTCATAATTCGTTTTCTTTATGGATCTGAGCTACTTACTAATTCAGCAGCACGTAGTCCATTAGATATTTCTTCAGCAAGATTAGTTATTCTCGATTGTTCAGCTCAGAAGATCTCAACAATCTCATACTGAACGACGTCATTTTTCAGAATAGCGCATTTGATCAAATGGACTCTAGAAATACTCATTTCATAATTTCTATTCTTGAGAACGTTTTTGAGCGTGCCGGTGAGAGCAAGATGAGCTGCCATGAGTGGTTTTGTCTTTCGCTTAAGAAGACTGATCAGATGGCTCATATTTTCATATGATTGAGCTCAAAATAAACATTTTCAAATATAAGAAGTCTATATGCAAGCTATCTCATCACAAAGTGAACTGCTTGCGGAATGCTTGTTTAACACATTATATTTGTAGCTGTCGTCTGTTAAGCAATTATTTTTGTTTGCACTTACCTTGCAGTTGTTGACACTGATGAAGTTGAACAGATCGCTATCGTAGAATCTGTATTGGAATGGTTTTATCTGAAATACACGTTTAATAAGTTGAAAATTGCTCTTGAGATGTTATCACTGTACGATTAAAGTGGTAGATGTATATTTAAAGCATCTGCTTGAGATCAGAATTTACTAGGCACGCAACAATCCCGATTCAATTCCGATTCTAGAATCGGAAACGGAATTGGTGCATGCATAATACTCAACATCTAGTGCACTAGCTAAAATTCGTTGTCGTCGACATACTGCGTCTTCTGCCTATCCATCAACAAATCATGTCGATCATCTTGTTCCTCAAGGCATTATTGCCTGAAAGAAAGTGGGAGATTTTTTCTATGAATAGTTTCAAAATTAACTCTTCTGGTTTTAGTGCATTCTGACTGTCGGAATATTGTTTTATCAGAGCAAGAAAAAGTGCATCCGACTTCGGAAAAACTGTTGAAAAGGTTGACAGAGCAATATGAAGATTTTCCAATTCCTTCAACAAGTACTTTCTGTAAAAAAAAAATGAAAAACGTAAGTGAAATATTATACTCACGTAGATGAGAAAGAAAAGAAAAAATACTACATCACTTTTTACTATGTTTTAGCTTGGTTTTGTATATCGACGAACATCAAAGATAAAACTTGCAATGGATTCACAAGCTTTTGTTGCAGCAAGGGGGAAATACTTGCAGATTCTTGAAGAGTTTAGACAAGATAATGTTCACTTATACTATCATGATGAAACTTGGATAAATCTTCGAGAAGTTAAATGATCTATTTGGACACTAAATGGCGAAGGGGAAATCAAAAAAGGTGGAGAGAAGGGGAAATCACGACGTCACTCATAAATAATTCTTTCACATACCATTTTTTGTCTTGTTTGCAGGATCTCGTCTGACAGTATCAGCACTTATAGGCATCAATGGTTATTACTAGACTATGCAATTTGGTACAACCAGAGGTAGGACGCAAGTACATGTACTTGTACTTTTCGTACTTTTCAAGTACAACGTAGAAATACTTGTACTTAGCTCAGAGTACTTGTACTTGTACTTGCCAGAAAATACTTGTACTTGTACTTGTACTTCTAGTAGAGTACTTTATACCTGTATTTCAACCTCCGAAGTGATACAAAAATAGACCAATGGGATTACAGGATTCATTTGCCCATTTTCTTCGCTATTCTCAAAGAGAAGCCCTTGGTTACCTGTACCAATGTTGGGGTAATCGAGTACGGTTTATCATTCTAGTATAGGTAACCATGGGTTTTCCCTTGAAAATAGGCGAGAAACCACTATCTGTGCTCGGATTGGTCAATTTCCGCCAATCAGCGATGACCGCTATTTTTTTTCAAAAACTTATTTTCGCTGGGAATCGACTAGGGACGCCTTATAGAAGGACGTTTTTTTGACCTCCAGAGATCTGCATTGGTTGTTTATTTCCTTCAAGGAGGCAATGTTTTACTCCGGTTGTGCGATATNCCCCCCCCCCCCCCCACAAACGTTACAGACGCTGGAAAACTCCATCACAAACAGGCCCCAAAAACGACCAAATACCCTTATAAACAAGCCCAAAGTTCCTGTCACAGATCGAGATCGGTTAATGGAAGCACAATAAGAAGGATCACATATTGTGACGGATGGAGCAAAAATCTCTTAAAAAGCAGCAGACATCGCTATTGATAATGATACGTTGCTTTCAACAGCTTAAGTTTAGATAAATGGGAATGCAGACTGGGAAATAAATTGAGCATTCTGTATGTTCAAAGTTTGTCCGGCTGGATCGTGTTTCACATTTTTAATCCCGTGAGGGATTGCGCTGAAAGCTTTTCTATTCGCTTTCATAATGAAAAAGAAAACGAACAATTAATTACATCATTGAGTTGATAATGTTTTATTTACTTTATATGATAATGACTGGAGTAAATTTTTACAAACAATTGTACGCAACTGATTAGTCAGTCATATGTCAATAAGTAGCTGCTACACGTGTAAAAACGAGAATAACAGTCAAATAATCTATGGTGTATTTATAACTATATGAAAAATATCTTCAAAAATTGTGTTTCTTATCAACATCGTAACTAGAATGAGAAACAGAGAATAAAAAACGACTCATATATATCTTTATTTCAGTTGATAAAAAGTTCTTTTTTTGTTGTTCTTTATCTAAGAAATAAAATATCAATTAAATGGAAACAAGACAATCGGATTTTATGAAAAGAATTAAGCAAACAGCTATGAATTTAAAAGAAAATATTGAACAGATTCGAAACATCATTATAGTTTGGCTAATCGATAATATTCTTTATAATAATCCTGATTTTGAAAATACACTTGAAGAAATTCGACAAATTATCAGCGATATATATACATTCACTGATAATGATCAATGTATCGAATTTATTCTAAATATTACTAATTGTAAAGTATGTATGATCACTTCAGAATCAGTTGGATTAAATCTTATACCTTGTATTCATGATATCTCACAAATTGATTCAATTTTAATCGTTTATGACAACAAAATTCAATATGTACAATGGATTAAGAAATGGTATAAAATCAGAAATGTTTGTTTAAATTCATCAAGTATCTGTAAACAATTAAAACAAATAACTCGTCAATACGAACAAAATAATATACCAATGAGTTTTGTAACATCAGGAAAAAGATTAAATCAATTAGATCCATTATTTATGTATACACAACTTATGAAAGAAATCTTATTAACTATTGAATTCGATGATACACATATTAGAGAGTTTGTTAATTATTACGGTGATGAATATGTTGATAATAAGAATCAATGGATTAAAATTAAACAATTTGTAAATAAATATCATGAGAAAGAACCAATATGGTGGTATACAACAGAAGAATTTCTATATGGAACGTTGAATCGTGCTTTACGAATAATGAATGGAGAAGTTATAGTATTGATGGGATTCTTCATTACTGATCTTCATCGACATATTGAAGAACGACACAAACAACAATACAATAGCAATCAGTCTGTTGAAAGTTTTACAGTTTACCGTGGTCAAGGTCTATTAAAGAAAGATTTTGATGAATTAGTTCAATCCAAAGGTGGATTAATATCATTCAATAATTTTTTATCTACCAGTAAAGATCGTGATGTTTCTTTACTTTTTGCTCCACATGATGCAAATAATCCTGATTTAATTAGCATTCTTTTTATTATGAAGATTGATCCTAGTAAATCGACGACATCATTTACTTCAATTAATGACTTGAGCAATTTTGTAGAAGAAGAAGAAGTTCTCTTTTCAATGCACACCATTTTTCGTATAGACAACATCAAACAATCGGATGAAAACGAACAAATATTTGAAGTACATTTGTTACTTACTGATGATACTGACGAAGAGCTATGTATGCTTACTCAATATGTTCGAAAAGAGAATTCTTTTGTGCCAGAAGGATGGCATAGATTAAGTTCACTATTGATTGAACTTGATCAACCTGAAATTGCAGAACGTATTTATAAAGTTTTACTTTCTCAAACAGTTGATGAGACTGAAATAGCATTTATTTATGATCATCTTGGTTCGATCAAACGTTATCAAGGACAATATCAGGACGCATTGCTACTTCATAAAAAAGCTGTGGAAAAGAAACTGAAGTCGCTTCCTTCCATTCATCGTAATATGGGTGTATCTTACATTAATATTGGTATTATACATTCCGACATGGGTGATTATTCAAATGCTCTTTCATCGTTCAAACACGCTCTTGTTACTATACAATTATCACTTCCTTCTAATCATCCAGATGTAGCTGTATGCTATAGTAACATTGGTATGGTATATGATCTCATGGGTGATTATGTCGAGGCACTTTTATGGTATAAAAAGGTTCTTACTTTTCGACAACAATCGCTTCCTTCTAACCATCCTGATCTGGCTGCAATCCACAGTAATATTGGTACAGTTTACTTTAGTATGGGTGATCATTCAAAAGCACTTTCATCACATTTACAAGCGCTTATGATTAGACAAAAATCACTTCCTTCGAATCATCATGTTATGGCTTCATCCTACAATAATATCGGTATAGCGTATCTCAACATCAGTGATTATTCTAAAGCCCTTTCATCATTTGAGCAAGCTCTTAGAATTCGAGAAGAACTGTTTCATTATAACCATCCTGACATAGCTGAATCTTATAACAACATTGGTGCAGTGTATCATACTATAGGTGACTATCCCAAAGCACTTTCATTATTGGAGCAAGCATTGAAAATTCGACAAAATTCATTATCATCCGATCATCCTGATGTAGCTAAAAGTTACTGTAACTGTGGTTTCACTTACTGTAGTATGGGTGATTATCCAAACGCACTTTTATCACTAGAACAAGCTCTAAAAATTCTACAACAATCGCTCTCCTCCGATCATCCCGATATCGCTACATTACACAATAATATTGGCATGGTGTATCTTAACACAGATAATTATACGAAAGCACTCTCATACTTTGAACATGCACTTAAAATTCGACAAAAATCACTTCCATCTAATCATCCTGACGTGGCCGCATGTCACAATAATATTGGTATTCTGTATTCCAATATGGGCGATTATTCTAAAGCACTTTCATCCCAGGAACATGCACTTAGAATTCGACAACAATCATTACCTTCTAATCATCCTGAGATTGCTATATCTTACAATAATATTGGTGTACTATATTATGACATGAAAGATTATCCTAAAGCACTTTTATGGTATGAACGAGCCCTTACGATACAGCAACAATTATTCCCTTCAAATCATCTTGATATAGCTAGATCTCAAAATAATATCGGTATGGTGTATTACTGTATGGGGAAATATACGAAAGCCTTTTCATTATGTTCAGGTGCTGTGAAAACTTTACAACAGACATTGCCATCAGATCATCCTGACATGCAAAAGTATAAGAGAAACGTCGAGAATATTAAAAAGAAGTTGTAATTTTTATTTCCATGTTCGAAAAGGTACACTTTGTTTCCAGTAGTGTCCAACTTGAAAGTTGAATTCAAGTATCAGTTCAACTATTCAGGTATTCCATTTTTTCGTACGAGTTTAATATATGGATGAAAAGCATTGACTTCATCTAGCATTTAACTGATTGTGTCTAGGGGTTCGTTTGAAGTGAAGATGATATCATTTATATATCTATATAAAAAGGAAAGAACAATCAGATGGTTGTATAATCAAAATTATAGATCAAGGACATAGTACGACTCACCCATCATAGATGCCACTCAAAGCTGTTTGGCGAAGAGCAAGTTGTTCTTTTCCCATTTCTACATGTGAATCCCATTGCATCACCAAGTAATTGCCGATAGAATATCTTCTCATATGTAAAAATATTCTTCTGTAAGAACAAGACGAGCTAATTTCCGAATGACATCTAATAGAATATTTTTCACTCATTGATAACCATGTTTCAACAGAAATTCAGTTAAGATCTTGAGAGATTCTTCTTGAGGTAACACCGTATATAAATATGTAGTTGGCTTTAAATAAGCACTTGCAACATATATTTTGAGACGACGAATGACATCAACACCATCAATAATTACAGTTGAACGAGCATGTTTATCAAATATTTGTTGAAGTAGTCGATCAAGGAATCCAGAATTGCCAGTTATTGGTGTATGGATTGAAGATACATCTTGAGGAGTAATGGAATTCCTTCCTAGACACACGAATAAGAGTGGTTAACTTTAGTAAAAGAAAGAACATTCACAAATCACTTTATGTGATTTAGGAACAAAATAGAGATAAGCTAATTCTATTACAATATTTATACATACTTAAAAAATTAGTTCAGTATAATAAAATGGGTGCTACAAAGAAACTAATGAAAAGAAACTCATCAATTTATACCCTAGATATGTGAGGATAGCATAAAGGAAGACAATGAATGTAGATCACCATGGTATGTAATCAGTCTTTGTTAATTCTTATGAAACTATACTTTTTTCGGATTTTTAAAATTCTTTTGATAAAAATTATAGATAGTTATAATGAAAGATTGAGCAATACCCCGAAGAAGATCCATATTTATTCTAGTATCCCGATCACTAATAAAATTTTTAAATCTGATTTCCCTGCCTTCGTTTTCTTTGCGCTTCTTTGGAGCTGGTGCACCACGCATTGACTTTTCAATCTCCATTTCCACTGTATTTCGTTTTTTTTGTATCTGTTTGTTCGTCATGAAAATACGACATGTGACGAGGAGAAAAGGAAGAAAATATGCATATAAGAAGTGAAAAGAAGAATACAGCGAGCAATCATGCTATTACATTATTGAATTTTAAACCTGTTTTCCGTAGTTGCATTTTTATAAAACTTTTGTCGGCAAAATAATTGTGACCCGAATAAAAATAAAAGGTTTTTATATAGCTTTAATAAAAAAGAACATTATAAACCAAGAATACGATTACAAAAATGAAATCATGCATTGAAATCAAGAGCAAAAAGGTGGAAAGGCAAGTCACTCTGTATATTTAAAATAATGTCTGAAGATAATTACTATTTTGGGTTCTACGAGTTTTACACATAAAGAGTATCTTAATACACGATTGAGCAAAAATTGTGCGACATTTTTTTGACTTGTGCAGACATCTCGATTTATGAGTCTAACAAAATATTGATCTCATTTTAGAAGTACATAGAATTATCCACAAATTTCTATAAACTTTAATCTAGAATAAAAGAACTGATCATTTTACAAGTTGCTTAGTATTATTATGCCGACTGCGTTTGCTTCCTAGTCATTTTTAAAAATTTTTTCAGAAAGTTTTCCTAGTTACAAACAGACTCACTATCTCTGATTTGAATATATAGCATATATTCCTTCCGAATCGTTTGTAGGCCTTTAATTGCAATATGTTCAAACAAAAAAATAAGTATTTAAAGATGTCAAATAGATACTCAATCGGCAAGAGGATTCTAAAAACTATTTAGGTATAAAGTATAGTTTAATGAAAAAGATTTACTTCCACAAAAAATAACTAAGAAGTAAACATAGTTGATATGATTATACTAAGCAACCTATAAAATGCTCAGTTCCATTATTCTAGATTAAATACTATATAAATCTATAGATAGTTGGGCCTATCTTTAAAAAGAAATCCACTTTTTGATAGTCTCTTACACCGAGATATATACGAGAGGAAAGAAAGTGTTGCAAAACTGTTGCTTCACTGGATAGACCTCTTTTGTTTGTTCTTCATTCCCATTGACATTTTTATGGCATTTTATTAAAGATAAAGCTTTACATAGACCAAGACATTAGACATTCAATTCGTCTTCATATTTAACTTGAAATTTATTTCAATATTTGTAAAATTAATATGGTATCATTGGTAGAGATAATAAATAATACGACTCTTATCAGTTTCATTATCTTATTAATCATGGGCACAATTGGAAACACGTTGAATATTGTTACATTTTTATCTAAAGATTTTCGAACAAAAGCTTGCATATTATATCAGATTATTTCTTCTGCACTTAATATATGCTTCACTAATTTTTTTATCATTATTTATGTGACAATACAATATTCAGGAGAGAATATCATACAGACGAATCGTCCAATGTGCAAAATATATGGTTATCTCTCGATATGCTCATCAGCAATGACAGCAACTTGCCTTTTCTTATCGACACTCGATCGATGCTTATCGACATCACGAAATGTGCGTTATCGGCAACTGAGTAATTTGTCATTTGCTAAACAGCTTTTAATTATAACAATGCTATTTCTCTTAATTTCAAGTATCTTTTGTCTGATTGTCTATGATCTTTACAATGATATGTGTATATCAGCACCTGGTCTAGGAACGATCGCTGTTATTGTTTATGCAAATATTTTTATTTCTCTGATTCCTCATGGTGGTATGCTAATTTGTGGTATCATTACATCGATACATATGCGACAAATGAGAAATCGTATCGATATTAGTTCTGACGCAGGTAATCCAACACCTGCTGTTCAGAGAATGAATCGACAATTACTGATCCTAATATTTATACAAGCTTCGGTGGAAATAATATTAGAAGTACAACGCAATATTTCAGCTACATACAATTTGATTACTAGTTCAGTAGAGAAAGGCATTGAACAACAACAAATTGAGTATTTTGTTACACAACTGAGCATCATACTTTACACCGTAAAACATGGCATATCTTTTTATATTTATTGTGCTTGCAGTAGTATGTTTCGAAAGAACTGTCGAAAATCTATCAAATCGTTATTTAATAGATGCTGTTGTTTCAATCAACATAATTAGACACAGCACTATAAATAGATGGCCGCGTTCCTTTTTCATGTCTTCTATTTATCCGATGATATCTGTAATGTGTCAATTGACTCTCTCCGTTGTTCTATCTTATTTAGCTTCTCGTCATGTATACGTGTTGTATTTGAATTAAAATACAATAAAATTAGTCAAACAGATATGATGAATAATTGCGGGCAATAATGAATTTATGGGTGTAGTTCTTTTTTTGTTTTCTTCTCACAGTCGTATGCTGCTTTACGAGTAGCTGCCTAATTCGACTTATAATATAAGTGACCAATTCCTAGCACCCTTAGGAATAGAAATAGATTTAGTTTTACTTATACATATATACCCTCACCCTCAAAATGGTAGAATACAACAACTCTCATGATACTTTCCGCTCAGAACAAAGCCGCCCTAATGATTCCATCCTAATAACTCTAAAAATTTGTTCTTATGCCGTTTTAAAGAAGTGAGACAACGGAGTCGAAAAGGACACCACTATCAAAATGATAGATTTTTTATTTCTTCTTAAGAACATTTTCAGACGTAGAGTCTTATCCACACATGTAGTGATTTCAAATGTATAAAATAACAGGATGAATCATAGAATATTAGAGAATATCGACTATTCACTAGTACTTCTTTTTGTTTAAAATTGTATTCCGCTGCCGAGGCGGAAAATTGTGAACATCCGACAAAACACGGAAAAGCAATACGTACACCAAAAGAAATAGTAGCTGTGTCTTCAGAGCTATCGAAATTTTTAATAAGCCAATATGATGTGCAGAGGCGGCGCCAGGATTTTCCGTTAGGTCGGGCGCCGCCCTTTTATCCAACTATATGCACTAAGTATAGTATGAAAGTCAATATAATACCGATATTATTTCATTGATCATGAACGATGCTTTGCAATACTGAACGAAACGTGTGAATTCATGCATTGGGAACTTCACTATTTTTATTTACAACAAATAAACCACTTAACGTAAAAGGATTCTGCTATTTTTATGATTAATGGAGAATCTACCAATGGCTCGTTCGTAATCTACACAACTTTCACGTTCTATGGCCATAATGCTCAAGTCACTCAAGCGTTGATCTGTCATGGTGTTGCGAAGATGAGTTTTAATAATTCTAAGTTTAGAAAAAGGCCCCTAGGTCAACAAATCCGATGCTGGATCCGAGTACGGGATTGATCGACCTGGGAATTATCAGTGTGAAGCTAGCATAAACGAACGATGTGTTAGCTAAAAAACGTTTTTACTAAACATGCTCCGTCCATAAAAACTACGCCATT